CAAACCAGTGCGAGTGTGTACGTGCAGATACAGTGATGTTGGGAAGCTGTTGTCTATGTGTGTGTTTAAAAGAGCGAGACTGTGGGAAAGTGAGTGGGAGACCGGTGTCATACAATACACCTTCCTGTGGGCGAGTGGGGGTGGAGCTGAGCGTCGGTCAGGTAAATAGAGACTACACACCACCACATCTCAGAGGACATTATCCTACTTCTTGTTTCCAGTGCACTTTCACAGTCAAGTTAGCCATCTGGAGCGCTGACAGCTTTAAAAGAAAAAAACAAAAGGGTTTTTTTTACGCCTCCTGAATGCCACGTTTCCACATCATCAAACAAGAATATTACACAGGTGATCATCTCTGACACTAATTCTACTTCAGTAATAATTTATGTTTTTTTTTTCCTTTTACACTTTATAAACATAATCAGCCGGATATTTCAGTGCACAGCATTTTGAAGTGTTTCCGTTTTTGCTGGTTAACAAAAGAAAAACCTTGAAAAAGAGAGGCAGAAAAAGCCATTATCACATGTAGGAGGTATTAATGCACATGTAAGTGTGGGTTGAATCTAAAGAGCATGAGGGCGGTGATAGAATAAACCTTGTGGCTGTAGGATGCAACCCTGATGAAGAGGAAAGCTTTGTTTCAATTTTCTTTACAGTTTTGAGGTACGATGACGTGAGAGCTGATGATGAGGAATTCATCTTCACATTCACATTTCCTTTCATTTGGCGGACAGTGGTTATATATATTTCGTACACCCAGCTAAAACTAATGCCGTCTAATACAACAGTCATTCAATACATGATCAGTCCAGGTCAGAACATACGAGCAACAACAAAAATGTAACATTATAACCTTAACGAAGGTGGGATGTATTGCAGGATTGTTGTATTAGACTGCATTAGTTTTAGCTACGTGTGCCTAATAAACTGGCAGTATATTAACAGAGCAACATTTAATACAGGAGACACATTGTAGGATGAATTTTAAATGCATGTTTGACCTCGCTCATATGAGACTTAATATCTGGATGTCACAGAGAGAAGCTACAGCCTGCAACTTACGAATCTCTGATAATCGCCCACATAAAACAGGTATCAAACAGTAAAGTTTCTCTCTTACACGCTCTCTCTCTGAAGACTATGCAAGTAGTATGTAAACACTGACAAAACAACCTTCCCATCCCTCACATTAGGGATAGGTGGCAGGCTGTAGCTTCTCTCTGATTGAAATCTATATCAATGGTTTAAAAAGAGATTTGTTTTGTAGTATTCATACATAAAGATACGGCAGATCTTTGCAAAATAATCAAAGTGAGCACACACGTTAAACTAAACTTTATTAGTGGGAATTTTAGAAGTTTACAATTTTAATTTTACATTATAATGTTTTGTCACATTCTAGCTTTATTTTTAAAAATCTGTAGCTTCTGCGATTTGGATATTGCACTCGGCCATACTGCAATTAATTGTGTAGCTCTAGAAGGCGGGTCTTATCTAATACCAGCCTGTCAGAGGCAGACGGCGAAAGAGAAGGAGAAACCAAAAACACCCACGCAGGAAAGTTGCAGTGCCACAGACTAGTCAGAAACTACTTTCATCAGGACTGTGACAGACAACGAATGACTCTACGGGGAGAGGAGTCAAACTCACCAGTAGGGATGTCACAATAACAGAAATTTAGTAGTCGAAAAAACAGTGAAATTACATGATACCGCTTTAAAAATGTCCCAATCAAGTTTTTTTTTTTTTGCCCCAATACAATACTTTCCTTAATAAAACAGCTCAATAGCTCTGCATTACAACAAGAAAAACAGTGAATATATATGTTATAGCCTAACAAACTCTCTTAATGTTTTTAGAGTCCTGCAGAGTTTGTTGCTCAGTTGTTTCAGTGCAGCCTTCATCCGAGTTACCTGAATGAACTGTACTCTGCTCACTGTTTATTTTCCTTGTCTGTACATCTTTTGTGCGGATTACATTAATAAATGCATGTTGCACTTGGAGTGGTGTTGTGAGCGTGCGTCTCTCTCTACCGTTTTCTGTCTCGCCTCTGACCAGGAGCTCGGATCCACCCACTCCTAAACACACACACACACACACACACACAGCGACCTGCGGTACTATAGAAAAACCATCGCCACAAGGCTCAGGGTTAATTAATGACATTATGGACTAATACAATAGGATCACATGATTCCACTCAAAGTTGCTAAAGTCTAATAATGATTCATTGTTCAGATTATAGCAGACGAGCAGAGATTCTTTGTTCTGCTTTCTATGAGGTTTTCTTCCAGAGAGGAAATGTTCAGGATGTTTCATTAGGCATTTTAACCCTTAATGACAAATAATTGAAAAAGACATGAGGAGGTGGAATGACATGTAACAAACACCCACAGTCAGAATCAAACCGGTATAGGGAATGATTTGGATAATAAACTGCTTAAATGTGTATGGTGCCGAGGAACAATTCACTATTTATACTGTCCTGATTGAATTTCCGAACACAGGCTCGCTATAAAAAGGTTTGCACTGCAGATGCACCAGTGCTAAATATGTATGCCTTTATTCTAAAATCTACATAAAATACTGGGAAAAAAGCCAGGACTTTTCTATCTTTGTTTTTATTTACTCTACAGCTCAGAGTTAGTTTATAGTATGACTGAATGTGTGAATATATACTGACATATACCAAAACAAAAGTGTTCCTGGTGTATTTCTTCTACAACCAAGTGTGTTATGATGTTTTCTCTTGCTGCGTGCTCTGCTGCTACCAGAAATAATCTAATTCATGTGCTCCTAGGTTCGCGTGTACCTTGTTTTTGCTGTCTGCTCGGCTGCTTAATGAGAAAATTATTCTAATGTTTTCCTGTTTTTCTTGGCTCAAACCCATTTGCTGGTTGAATCCGTGAAGTACCCTTTGCTCTTCCTACAGACGCACACCTCGAGAGCTCGAACAGTGATTTCAACATACGTTTCTGTCCTCTTTTCTGCGTAAGAAGTAGGATTAAGTTCACATACAACATATCAAGGATTCAACCTAGACTCAGCTCTACTTGAACAACAAAATGTCTCCAATCAGCATTAACCACAGGAAATGACTGTAAACACATGACTGCACTGGGTAAAAGGCATCAGGATCTATAGCCATCCATTATGGCATTATGGTTGGGCTCCGGCGCCCCCTTCCTGTCGACCACAGCAGCCAAATCGATCCTTCGGCAAAAACACTTGGGGAAAGAAAACAGGTCATTATCCTGAGCCTGATAATGAATGTCACTTGTGCTGCTCATACATTTACGAACCGCTCTGGGTTGTCTGCTGTCCCTTTTACAGTTACAGTGAAGGGTTAATAACTACTGCAGATCCTCCTCGGGCAGAGGCCTTTTTGCAGTGTGCTTGTGTTGTTGTTTGAGAATATTTGATCACTCTATATAATTTACACACAAATGTTCCTGTATGTGATGTTTTGCTGAGTTTTGGTAACTTTCCATCCAATTAAAAAGGGGGGCCTCAAACTAATTTGTTTTTTTTATTATAACACCACCCAATTCCACACACCCTCGGCAGTGCTTGAAAAATACTACGAGAAGCAGTAATTTCATTGTTACTGAGCACCGGCACCCTGGGAGGTACAGAATTGCTTTTGACATTTTACTGATTTGAAGAGCATGCAACCTGCTATTTATTTACTGTTTCACTAAATGAAAGTTTTCGCTGAATTATGGGGATTCTTTTTTTTTAAATTTTATATTAAAAATGAGTGATATGGTTCATCTACTTTATTATCGTTTACTTTTATTGGTCTGGCACATGAAAGTGATTAAACAGAACCGTCACATAGACACCCAACCATACAGTTACAGCTATTTTTAAGCTCTGGGTCTGATGCAAATCCCTGCAAATCCCTCTGGCTCATGTATATGTATGACACATCATGCCTGGCAGCAAATGTCCTCCATAAATTAGAACCCACTCTAAGTATTCTCATTAATTTTACAGTGCAATCAATGCACTCAATCTATCAACAACCATAACAACCATCTTTCAAAGCAAGACGACCTAAGAAACTAGAAGGACAGTCAAGTCTGTAATGTCATGTTCAACTACGTCCTGAGTAAATTCCCTGTGAGTGTTGTTTTCTCTGCTTGCTTTCAACTTGGTCAAGGATAGTCAATACGTTTTATCTGCAGGTAACAACTCAATCAGATGAATGAACATGAGACACAGATAATACCTTATAGGTAGCATGGTGCAAAGACAGTTCCCAGAACTATAAACTATGTCGTGAATCTAAAATACTTTAATACTTTTTATATTTTGTCCCTTTTTTTCTGGGAAACAGCAACATCCTCATTTTTAATTAAAAGGTCTAGTGTGTGGGATTTAGTGGCATCTAGTGGTGTAGCTGCAGATTGCAACTCAGTCGCTTCACCCTAACCTTCCAAGCGCAAAGGAGAATCTATGGTGGCTGCGAAACGCCTGTTTGGTTTGTCCCTTCTGGGCTACTGTAGAAACATGGCAATCTGTAGATATAAAACTCTCATTTTAAGGTAACAAAAACATAACGATTCCTATATTCAGGTGATGATACGGTAATGAAAACATAGTTTATATGCAATATTAAAATCCATTTCTGCCAATACATCCTCCCAAATGTTACACACCGGACCTTTAACGCACTGTTTTTATTACAAACGAGTATTTTTCTCTTATTAATCTTTAAAATCCAATTTCAGACATACGAGTAAAGCTGCTTCTTATTTATTTATCCGCCAGATACCTGCAGCGAGAGTCTTGTGAGAGAGAGATTGTATCAGTCTAAGATATGGACTTTCGTTTAGATCACAAACAACATTACCCTGCGGATGAATCACATACACCGTCAGATCTATTTCAGCTCGAAGCCTCTAGCCACTATCAGACATGTGTTACAGGTTAAATCATCCACCACAACAGAAACAGAGAAGACGAGGGCTGGAAGAACGGAGTTAGAGACTGACCTGTGTCGCTCTGGCTGAAGACAGCCATGGTCTGTCCACCCACTGTGTGCATCGTGAAGGGATGATCCCTTGGGACCTGCAGCGAGGAATCCTTCTCCCCCACAGCACCCAGGGCAGTCAGCTCCTCATTCAGAGTGAAACGTACCTGAGGAACACAGCTGAGTCAAGGCCCTGCTGGCGAGTCGTCTTCACAACTTCGCAAATAGGGTCAAATATGTTGTGATGAAACTTTATCGATCCCTGCGAGGAAGCTGAGTCAACGCAGCAGCGAAGAGTGATGGGATACAACCGGCGGTGGAGGAAGCATTCAGACGCTTTACTTAAGTAAAAATAATTAAATAATACACTTTGGTACAAGTAGAAGACCTGCATTACAAATATTACTTGAAGAATTTTAAGTAAAATTACTCAACGCAGAATAATGTACATGTAAAAAGTAAAATTTTTCCCTCTAATGTAGAGGAGGAGTAGAGGAAAGTGGCATGGAAAGAAAGGTACCTTAAACTTGAACTTAAGTATAGCAAATAAGAAAACATCAGTAAAAAGAAATATAAAAAATATATATATTTAATATGAACGTGTGCACAGAAAAAAGATTAAAATCATGATGATGTGAAAGTGTGTACCAGACAAACTACAGTACATTATAATGTTGTCAGTCACACATTTGGATATTCCACTTGGCCGTAACACGATTTTGGATAATACTTAAATTTAATGTGAATCCTAATTAAAGTGAATCAGTCACTGACGCTAACTCATACAGGCTTAAAGCTGTCTGTGTTATATGAAGCTGTCTCACCTCGGTTTTGCCTTGCTTCCTGTCAGGTGGACGACAAGACAGACAGAAAGTGATAATCACAAAGTCAGAATTTAATTATGTATACACACCGTAAAAACTTCAACTAAAAGCAGGGACAAATAAAGGCAGGTCTCAATTAGAGGTCTGGATTTGGACATAAGGCCACGTTCACACTGCATCAATTTTGAAGTTGTTCTGCAATCAGAGCCGACAAAATGACGATGATGATTATGATATTGCTGTGTCCCGCCTCCTTCGGCACCTAATTGTGACGTCTGTCTCACTTCAATGACATAAAAGTCGGATGAAATGCGACAAGACTTCAGATTGAGGTCGCTCACAGCAGATATGTATCCGATTTAGGACCACATATGAAAGTGGTCTAAATCTGATTTGAAAAAATCTGATCTGGGCAAGATTTGAGTGTTCACAGTACTGACCTGACCCCAAAAAAATAAGATTTGGGCCACTTTTGCCTGTAATCTGAACGTGGTCTTAGATCACCTACTCAAATATAAATGTATTTATATTTTTTTATTTTTTTATTTATATTTTATATGTTATTCCATAGCCTCATTTTTAAAAAATAAAATGACTATTCATACTGGTTTAAATTTTAAATCATACTGTTTAAACAATCTGATAGTAGAGTTTTGTGCAAAATAAATTAAAGGCCTGTTCCAAATAAAGGCAGGTTGAGTTCAGTGACTGAAGCAAACATATTTATACATATAAACACACATTTATATATAAATATAAATAAACACACACACATTTATATATATATAAATAAACACACACATACATATATATATTTAAAAGTATGTATTGTAAATAAAAATATTGACAACTTACTTCCCAATGCTAATCTTTCCAACCTCTCCCTTGTCTGCAGCCTTGTCCCATTGTTGAGATAAATATTTGGGAACCTGTTGAGAGTCATTACAGATTTTACACACAAAATATGAA